ATCCACTTTATCAAAATCATTATTTCTCTTATTTACAGGAGTATCAATCTCATCTTTTTTTGTTATGATCTCAACATCTCAGCATATACATTCACATGTAGTGAGTAACCTTACATATATATTCAGATGTATTGAGTAAACTGACATACATATGTACATGTATCAAGTAGAATGAGTATATCTTCACATGTATTGAGTAACATGTGTATATATTCACATATATTGAGTAGTGTTCGTATATGTTCATATGTATTGAGTTGCATCATGTATATTCACATGTATTGAGTAATATGCTTATACATTCATATGTATTGATCAACTTGCATATGTATTCATATGTATTGAGTAACACATGTATATGTTCATATGTTTTGAATAATATGTGCATATATTCGCATGTATTGAGTAACATATACTGAGTAGTGGCTATATACATTCACACACACACACTTGTCAGTTCACATATAGAATATATTCCTCACTTCACTGCTACATCATATTGTACACCTGAGGAGATCTTCCATAACTTTTGTGAAAATACTGAAGCCATTAGAAAGAACTATATATATATATATATATATATATATATATATATATATATATATATATATATATATGTATATTTGGTTGCTATCTGAGGTCAACATTTTTTTTTCTCTGTATATTATGCAGTGGATTTTTACTGTTTATATTGGTACCATGTTAGAATTTTCTCTCTTCTATATGAAACTGATTATCTGAATAACACAATTTCATCCCCACTTTTGAGAAATGAATTTCATTCAATCCATTCTTCTTTTATATGCCATGTCCCTTTAGGATGTAGGGGATCACGGCTCTCCACAACTTCCTGTCCTTTGTAGCTCTTAGTTAATTTTGTCTTTTTATTATCTCCCTTAAACCTTGTTCTGCTATCAATTTACTCAAGCTCACTAGGTAGGTTATACATTGTTTTCTTATGACCCTCTTGCCTTTAATTTGTCCTGTTGGTATCAAATTTTCCAAGCCCTCTTTCCTCATTATGTGTCCTAGAAATTTCAATTATCTCTTTTTGATTCTAAGTATAAGCATCCTTTTCTTTACATTTTACCTAAAACTTCATCATTGTTTGTAACATGGTAGTCTCAGTATCTTTCTGTAGAACCAAATTTCTGTTGCTTCAAGTCTCTTCTTCATCTGCGAGGAGATTGTCCAACATTACAACCGATATTACATAACAGATCAGTACTCCTTTCTTTGTTTTTAATTAGATTTTCCTGTTTCTTAATACTTTGCTTAGCTTTTGGAATGCATCTTTAGCTATTTCAATACACCTTCAGATTTCAGTGTTACACATTCCATCTTCTGTTAAAATACTACCCAGATATTTAAATTGTTGTACTTGCTTGATTTTGATACCTCCAATTTACAACTGTTTCATTTGTCTTCACTACTACTTGTCTCAATTCTTGACTCCTGACAATTCGTTTTACTTTTATGAATGTAATTGTAATTCAGTTTATTTTCAAGTCATTTCTATATTAACCATTTCATTCTAACTTTGACCTAAATCATTTTTTAGTATTTTTTTTTTTTTATATTAATGAGTTCATAAACATTCAAACAAACTACATTCCTTAGTTCCACCAGTTCAGACCTTTAGAACTAGAAATTTCCATACCATGTTCATGGTGTGAAACCATCTTCATTCCCTTCTTATCCTTTGCTAAGATGTAAGTTTCAATCAGACAGTTTCTTCCTCAGAACTGTTATTTTCTTGTTCCTTGACCACTACAATCTTAACTCCTTCAAATCAACCGATATCTATCCTACATATCCTCATAATATACCTTTCTTACTTCCTTCTTCCCACTTTCTCATGCTATTATAACTATTGCACTCAGTCGTCTTCTACCTTGAGTGGCTCTTGGGCCTTGCATTACGTAAACTAAGATAAAAAAAGACCTTCAAGTATTTCAAGTTCCTTCGTAGCTAATGTAATTAATATTGTTTATTATAAACAGAGCATTTACTTAAATAATTGTATTTATAAAAATAATGTATAAACAGAAAATATATTAAAATAAATGTGTGTGTATATATATATATATATATATATTATTTGCTTTTTAAAAATATGATTACATGTACAATCTTAACTCCTTCAAATCAACCAATATCTATCCTACATATCCTCATAATATACCTTTCTTACTTTCTTCTTCCCACTTTCTCATGCTCTTATAACTATTGCACTCAGTTGTCTTCTACCTTGAGTGGCTCTTGGGTCTTGTATTAGGTAAACTAAGATAAAAAAAATGACCTTCAAGTACTACTCTTTAGATCCAATGTATTATTATTATTATTATTATTATTATATAAGAAACAAATAGCAGGGAAGTTAATGACCAAATGGAAAAAAAGCACATTTGACCTTCTTCAGACTAATGTTTTATCAATGGAATTATAAAAATATAGACAGGGTAATGAAATACAACAAATATAAGTTACAATTCTACATCAAGAAAATGCTAAATATACAGGGATGATTAAATTTTAATTTTAATTTTTGGTGTCCAGTCTTACCTCACTTTATTTACCTGATCTCATTCAGCTTTCTATGGCTTTTGTTTTTATCACATTTTGTTTTTAAATATCTCACATTGCAATAATAGTAGTTTTCTTAGGAAAGGCAATATACCATATGCTTACGGTCAAATCACACTGAAACACCGGTTCTCGTTTGATCACCGAAGTTAAGCATCGTAGAGCCAGGTCAGTACTTAGATGGGGGACCGCTTGGAAACACCTGGTACTGTAAACTCCCAAAGTCCAACCCTTACCTCACAGTCGGTGGGGTGGGGGGTGTAAACGGTAGTGTTAGAGCTATGCCGCCCGGAACTTCGTTCCTGGTAGGGCCACCCAAGGCAGACAGGTCTGACACACACGCCGGCTAACAAGGGCTCTGGTGAAAATCCAAGGAGCGTCTGCATCGGTAACCAGCGGCTTCTGGTCGTTCCTGTCTCTGTGTCTGTGGGAACCCCGCAGCAAGCAAGAACGTTATCCGAGTAGGCCTGGGTACCCTACTTCTGTAATTTATCCCAAGAATCTTCTTCTCATAACAGGAAGAAGCCGGCTCAATCCGCCCAGGGTGAATGCCGCATCAGTACAGTACAGTACAATATACCATATGAACCTGGACATAAATTTATTGTGAAAGATTCAGGAACAAATGGTATTATTAACAGATCTTTTTGGAGGCTTGCATATCCCTTTAAGAGTGAAAAGATTAAATTAGTAAAGCATTTATATTATACATACTATATACATATTATACATATGGGTAGTCCTATTCTGCCAGTAACGTTTCTGTATCACACAAAATGCAGTGTGCCAAAATTTGCTGTATCACTTAATATATAACGATTAGCATCTATAAAAATTTTGATGAATTTGCTTAATAAATACTGCCTGTGATATCATGGGTTTCATAAAAATATTATATGAAACATGAGATTATTTCTATAGTAAAAAGTTACTTTCAATGCATTATGTATAATAAAATCATTAGCAGAGCATTTATATTATATGTATATTGACCTGGTGTGTCTCATACCCATACATGCCCTCATTTCTGATCCCTAATGACCCCTCTCTTATTTTCAATGCATTTCTATAGTAATACCATTTACAATGCATTTATATTATATGTATATCTAGTATTACTGTTGTCTCACTTGTGCATGTTTTCCCTTATGTCTAATCCCTTATGATTCCTTTTCTCTTATTTTCAATGCCTTTCTATAGTAAAACTGTTTACAATGTATTTATATTTTATGTAATATATAATAAATCACTTGTCAATACTTGCCTCATTTCTAAGTTCTGATGATCTCTTTTTTCTTTTCAATTCATTTCTATAGCAAAACCATTAGCAGTGCATTTACATTAAGCATATAATAACTCATATAATTATATTAATCATAGAAGTAGCATAGAATGTATTGAAACTAAGGTGGTTGAGCGATTCATCTTTGATGATAAATTAGTGTCTGTAAATTATATCTTTCATAGCAGTTTAATTCAATAAAACTGCTTTAATGTGTAATGTCTTTCTTCTTCCATGGAAGATTTTCCAAAGTATAAATACAATTGCAAACAAACCATAAGACAACCCAGAATAACTTAGTAGAGACTAAAAAAAATCTGTATTACAATTATAAAACCAATACTGTTGAGCATTTAACACCTACCACATCAGCATAAAGTAATTATTGCTGTAAAATTAATCTCCAAGATTACGACCATCTTCTCTTTCCTGCATTCAAAGGCTTTCTTTTGACCATTTATGATTAGTCAACTTCTGTAAATCCCTTTTCCCCACCATGGGTCTTTGATACTCTTTGATGCAATTAAGGACTCAGTCCCCAGAGTAAAAATGAGCTTAATTTATATCAGTGTTTGTCTAGTGTTCTTTTGGCTGTTTGGTATAGGTGTCAACAATTCATTGGTACCTGGGGAGAGACAAAACCAAGTGAATAGTCTTTTGTTATTACAGTAAGGGAATTATACAACTCTAAATCCTTGGTCATGGATCTCAAATCCAACCTTTGTCAGGACCACAGAAACATTTTTATTGTTTTATCACTTCTCTGTCATATTGCAGCACAAGTGATTAAGAACATTTTATCAAGTATCACTAATTCACCTTTGATATTAAGAGAGAGAGAGAGAGAAAAATACTATTTAATCTGCTGTCCATGATGACTTAGCTCAAACTTTTGCTGAGGTGGCCATTCTTTTAGAAGTATGTTTCATGACTGTCTCCCTTTTTTTGTTTCGACAAATAAAAATTGCCCATCTGGAATATGAAAAAGGTGAAGAAATGCACCGCTTTGATAAGAAGTTTTTCAAAAGAATTATTTGGCGTAGGGTTTTGAAACACAAAGAACTGATGCTGCCAGGAACTGGAGTCCAGGGACCTGACATTCACATCAAATAAATTCTTCTTAAGAAGAAGAATGGCAGCAGCAGCTTCCTCCCCTACACCTAATTTTTTTTACAACATGGAATCATCAGTCAGTGATACTACTACTACTACTACTACTACTACTATTATTACTGTGATTTGCAATTTAATGAAGACTTTACTCAAATAATAAATATTTTTACAATAATAATGTGCTCATTATGACTTAATTCAAAAGTAGAAATAATGTCTATGTTAATTAAGTGATAATGTTAAAATTATATCTATTTTGTATAAATATGGGCTTATGAACCTGTCACATTGAAACACTGATTTTCGTACAATCACAAGGTTAAGCAATGTCGAGCCTGGTCATTACTTAAGTGGGTGACTGCTTGGGAATATCTGGTGTGGCAAGATTGAATGTGAAGGTGGTGTAATTGATAATGGCTCAGAATCAGAAATTGGAAAGACGAATTCCAATCTATAATGCTCTTTAAAAGCCTGGTCCAACAGATACCCTGTTTCAAATTGAAATCAATCAGGTTTTGAGCAAATGAAGACTGTAGGTCTTAGTGAGGACCATCCTCATTTGAAACTCATGGACAGGTGCTATGGAATCACCAAGAACTGTACCAAATAACAGAAACCACATAACTTGCAGACTTTCAATGGCAGCAACAACTAAAATTAGATACCACATGTAACTTAAAGCAAAAATAAAATCAAGATGTTGATGTTTCACACTATTTCAAACAAAAGGTTAGAAAGGAAGCTTCGATTAATAGTGGAAAGAACAATAACAGTGGAATTTAACAGAAAGTTTTATTAATTTCAATCAAAAGTAGCACTGGTAGCTCAGTCAAAATAATGGTGAATGTTTCCATATAAGGAAATAGCTAATACTACCAATTTTTTAACCGTTTCATCCCAAGCAATTCCACTAAGATGCAAGGGCATACTGGAAGTGAAAGAAAATAAAAAGACTTTAAAATGAAATGGAAAGTCAATCCTAAACAGGAAACAAGAAATAAACCTGTAGTATCATATGCAAATTAGATAGACAAATATAAATAGAGAACAACTGGTGAATATGGAAACAGCTATACCTAGCAAACCTGGTTGCTGTTCAGGACATGGAGAACTGTACTATGACTACTACTATGCAGAGAGATTGCAAAACATAACAAAACCTTTTCTCTTCTTCAAAAACAAGGAAGGAGTATGAACTGGGTGATACTACTATTACCATTAATTTTCTGTGACTGCATTAACTTTATAAATAAAAACTTCACTGCTCCAACATGAACATTGGCATCATTGAATGTATAGTACTCACAAAAATATACAAAATTCATTTACAAAGCTCTTTACACTCAAAGTTTCATGAACAAAGATAAGTATTGATAAATGACCAGAGATAAATTGAAATGCAAAAAGAAAGTTAGGAATGAAAAAAATGGAAGATAGAGAGAGAGAGAGTTGGTACAGCTGTGAGATTTAGTAAGTTTTTGAATCTTTTGGTAGATCAGCCTTGTTTTTCCTTGTCTGTTTTTCCTTGAAAATGGACAGTGCCAACTTGATAATGTCCTTGTTTTGATTTGATTATTCCTTGCAGGGCCAGTTTGAATCAAGAACAACTTCAGTTTGATCTCAAGTGTCAATGGCTGCTCATCTTCTCTTGAACTTTACTTTTGGCAAGGTAATTACTTGCAAGAAGAAAAGTGGCCAAGTCCCTTGCAAAATATCTTAATGCAATTTTCCTCTATTCAAAATCAGACTGAATATTTCAGTTTATTATTTGATAAATGATCAAAAGGAATTTCATCCTTTGAATTTCCTTGAAATATACGTGCCTCTCAGTTTGGCATATAAATCCTGAAATCCAGGTCTCTCTCTCTCTCTCTCTCTCTATATATATATATATATATCTGTTTATGTATATATAAAAACCTGTAGCTATCTTCACACATATACACAAATGAATCAATATATCTATGTTTATAATATTATTCCAAATTTCTTAGATGTAGAATTGCCAATTATTATTCAGCTTCCTGTATTTCTTTCATCTTATTTCTCTTGTTTATTTACACCTCACAAAATCTCTTTTTGTATGTTGTCTCCTCTATCAAGAGGATGCAGGTTCAAACTCTGCTGGAAGGCACATTTTCTTCATTTATTTAGACCCTCAAATGCACAGGTGAGTATATAGAAATTTACACAGTTTAAAAATCAAGAGTATCTACTTAAAACCATGTATTCTCTAAAATATTGTGTTTAAAATAAGAAATAATGTTAGATCATAAATAAAAAAAATCCATCACTTCCTTAGAAATTATCTTGTTTACATTTCAGATATGAAAAGAAAGTTAGCAGATATGGGTTTTGAGTGATCACAGTATATAAAACAAAGGGAAAACTATTTTTACTTCAACTACAACTTCAATCTCAAGAATGCTATACATATAAAAACAGAAAACAGCTTAGATCAAAAGTTCTGGAGACTGCAGTTATTGAGTTTTGCCAAAATGTGAACTTCCCAAGATAAAATAAACAACTGTCAAAATTAAAAAAAAAAACAAATAAAATTGTTAATTCAAGGCCTTTAAATATTTAAAATAAATTAAAAGATACATAATTAAATAAAATAAAATAATTATTGCTAATTACAATAAAAACAATAATAAAATTAAAATTCAACAAGAACATTTAGTCACTTTTATTTAGTTGGCTATATATTACATCACTTAGCATCCTTTATAGTTTACCTTTCCTTACACAGCTAGCTTTAAGAATACATTGGTAACGAAATATTTTCTTTGTTTTTTTACTGATATTGTTTTTCAGATATATTTTATTTATATACACAATATGTGTCCTCTGACAGGAATTGAACCTGTACCCTACACAGAACCATCATTTGTAGCTAATGTAATTAATAATGTTTATTATAAACAGAGCATTTACTTAAATAATTGTATCTATAAAATAATGTATAAACAGAAAATATATTAAAATAAATATATATATATATATATATATATATATATATATATATATATATATATATATTATTAATTATTTTCTTTTTAAAAATATGATTCCATGGCGATACAGAAAATTTCCATGTTTCAAAACTGAAACTAAATTTATAAATTTAATTATGAAAACTAAACTTAAAATCCATAGTCTCATCCCATTGTCAAGCAATGCTAGCTGATACAAAATGATTTTAATCTGTTCTCTTTATAGCTGAATAAGTCAATGTGCTTTTCAGTGATTCTTATGGCAAGATGGCTAAACGTCTTATCTGAAAACCTGGTAAAAAAGGAACTCAATTTGATTAGTGGATTCTTAGATATTTAACATTATGTGAGATGAACAATTCTGCTGTAACACGATTTGGACAATTTTGCTGTTACCCTAAAACATACTGTTGTATGAATATATATATGAGTGAAAGTCAAAAATTATCTGCATTCTAGTCTAAAGCTATGTTATGGTTAAAGTGCAGATAATTTTTTACTTACCCTTGTATGTGTATATATATATATATATATATATAATTTAGGCTATGGGCACGTGGCTGAGTGGTTAGAACATTCACATTCTGACCATGAGACCTGGCTTTGAATCTCACTATGGTCAATTTGTTAGGAAGGAAACTTCCTGATGTTATCGGACTGGATTGAGGTCAATCTCAATGTGCGGCACCTTTGGAAAGTGCCTGAAAACCATATCACAGGTTGACCCAAGACTTGTGAGTGAAATTGTGTAGACAGAATTCTTGGGCAGTGAGAGCATTGATAGCTGTGCTAGCATGAAGCCACAAGTCATCATGACTGAGGGCTTGAGCGTGCTGGCCTTGTTTAATTTGTTGATCAAACTCGATAACACGCTCTCTCCCAGAAACTTTAACTAAGGTCTGCTCAGCATAGTTGCAGTATAAACCACAGGTGGGCTCTGTGGGTTTTGAGCAAATGCAAATGTGTCTGAGCGAGCGTCTGCAGTGGGGATTGGCTAGCCGCCCTAGTAGACGAGTATCCTCGAATACCAGTAGCCAGCTATTATATTTCAGGCTAATTTTAAAGTGTGTCTTATGTGCTGCACAATACAATATTTTAGACATGTCGGCTCATATAAAGATCAATAAATAAATATGATTTTCATTTTCAGTATTTCTAATGCGCACATACATGCACAAACACACACATGCACATGTGCACACACACACACCCTGATCTGAATGCAAATGTCTGCAAAAGATTATTTTAAATAATGAATGAACATCAGTTCTGATTAATGTTCCCATATTCTTTTTGCTAATGCAAGGACTCCATAAAAAATTAAAAAAAAAATTCTCATAGGCAAACAAATCTGGACTAAATTAGTGAGCAATACTTGTCCCAAGCAGACAAGCTTCTTACTTACCTCAAGGCTTATACCAAATGCCAATGAGCTTTGATGGAAAATACATAAGAACAATAAAAATAAATAAGAGATAAAAAGAAGTGAAAAGACAAAAGAAAAAAAATATCTATGATTATTTTTCTTTCCATTGTTTTTGTATTTACAAGTTGTAAATTGTTATTAATTTTTGGCATTTTCATTTTTCCCTTATTTCTGCGAAGATAAAGGAAAAACCACACAAAAATTAATAATGACAATTCTTTTTGTAAGAAATTCAGACTATTTTTAAATTGTTATATCCAATATTGCTTATCATTTGTTGTTTATTACTTGTTCCTTTATTTGTCAAACTTTGTCTTTACCAAAGCCTTAGTGGTTGACCAATGGAAAGTGAAAAACATCCAACACAAAGGGCTTGTAATAAGCAAAGTTTAGAACTGCATTTTTTGGTGTAAATAAATCATTTTTTTACTCCAAAAAATGTCAAAATTCCCTTGTGTACTCTACAGTGAAGGTATAAGTAATATATTAATGGAAGGAAAACAAAAAATAAACAAAAAAGCTGATGAGAGAAAAACACATTTGGCCATTAAATCTGGCTGTTTTAACTGGAACTGCCAAATGTTTCTCACAGAAACCCTTTAAGACTTTATCGAAAGAGGAATGGAATAACAGAATGTGACAGGAAAATATTTCTATGATTCCTACTAGATACTAGTGATATATTTATTAAATCATTTAAGAAATGTGGTATCCATAAGGCAATGAATGTAACTGAAGACAATAACAAAAGAAAAGAACAATAACAGTTACTGAACTCAAGGAAACTATTTCCCTAAATAACTGTTTTAATAAGAAGATTTTAAAAATTTCAAACGACGATACCATTGGCTGCATGGTCAATGAATGCCAGATGATTCCTCATAAGGCAACAGTTAATATTACTGTTACCATTATCACATCCTCATGAAATAAAGCTTGTTATGCATATTGCTGTCAAAAATACTGAAACTCATTACACACTGCTTACACCCCTTGTTTACTCTCTGTAAGTATTGAGGTAGGGAATCAACACATTATCAATAGTCTGTAAGATGGCTGGCTAAAATTTTGCAATTTGCTTAGTGGCACTGTACAAAAATTTCCATTTACAGGTTTTGCTTTGTTTAGGTTGACAATTAATTATGAAAATAATTCCTATAGGTTTTGTATCTTTCTTTAACCCATTAATGACAACCATACCATTTTTGAGTTGATGTGTTAGAAGTCAAACACTATAATAACAGATAAACCTATAATTAATAATATCATTTTTTTATAAAGTTATATTTAATACTAGATTTCTTATACACCAAAAATTAATTCCAAACTCCTCATATCCTAATAACTAATGCCAGATTCCTCATACACCTATAATTAATGTTTTTTTCCCATCATGTCTTCCTGAATCCTGTTCTTTTATTGTTCTTTCTCCTCATTCTCATTATCTTTCAGGCCCAGAAATCCCTTGCAATCTTAGTGGCATTATTTCCTTGCTTGGGGTGAAATGATTAAAAAAAAGGCTATAATTAATATCAAATTTTTTATAAACTAGTAATTAATACTGGGATTGTATTTTCATAAACTTACAATTAATATTGATTTCTTACAAACCTGTAGTTAATATCAGATCTTTTTTTCAGAAACCTATAATTAATAAAAGATTTTTGTTTAAGTTTTATTATTGATACTGGACTTTTTGGTGGATATTAACAGGTAAATAGAAGATATTTTTCTCATCCTCGTGTGTGTGTATGTGTGTGTATATATATATATATATATATTTCATCTACAGACAGACTGTTTTGCTGTATCACAGCTCCTCAGTGTGGCTAGACATTCGATTGGTTCAAGCCAGGATTGAAACCCAACTGATTTGACATCAGTCAGATATCTTACCACTAAGCCATTGTCCCATGGCAGAAAGAAAGGGAATTTTAACGGTTTTCTTTATATAAAATACACGAGCAGCTCAGAGAAGTCAATTCATACTTGAAGATATTTAAGCAGCATATCATCATACAAGCATGTTTCATTGAATAATATAGACATATTGTGTCTATTTTTATACTGATCCTTTTCAGCTCTCTAATCAGTTTCTTGATGTTAAGATGAAATTCATCAAGGAAGTCACCATAGTTTTTTCTAACCCAATATATATATATATATATATGTGTGTGTGTGTGTGTGTGTGTGTGTGATAAAAAATATCGTTCATGGTATGCTAAACAGAGTGTGATGGATAAATTGTTGTTTAAATTAGGCAAAATAAAAATAACACTGACATCTCATTTTAACAGATATATTTACCAAAATTACACAGAAATATCTTGAAATACTAAAGCTGCAACTCTTTTGGACAGTGTTTTTGTTTAAGTTGGTGAATGCTGCCATAATCCTTGCCTTCAGTTCATCTTTGATGTTTCAAGGAGTTTTGTTGATCTTTCACTCAACTGCAACCCTGGGGAATTAGGTGGCCAGATGTAAGTGTTGATGCAGCCTCAAAAATTGTCTGACAACCATGACTGTGTTCTCCTGCTTGTGTGGCATGGTGCAGAGTCCTGTTGACAGTCATAGAATTTTCCAGCAGCCACCCTCTTGACCCAGGGCAGCACTATCTCTTCAAGGCAACAAATTCAGGAGTTCTTTTCTCATCAGAATGATCAGTGAGTTTCCTGAGCTACCATGATTTTGTAATCACCATTAGACTCATTCAGCTCTTTCCGAATCCTCTGCACTGTCCTCAGATTGACACCCAAACTCTCCGAAATGCTCATATTGGAAGTTCCGATGTGAATGCCAAGCAGTACAACATGCCATTTTCAAATTTCTGGCAGAGTGAATTATAATCATGTGTGCTCTTTTTCTCAAAGACGATACCCAACTGACCCTACTATACTGTGCAGTCAACAAAATTAAAAACAAACAACGTGCATGTACAAAATTAAAAATATAAAATGGCGACAATTTACCAGTCTCACCCTGTATTTATATGCACACAGATATACAGCAATTTCTCAAGAAGTAATGGGCTTTTATTTATTAATCTGACAGATTTTTACCACTGTAAATGTTATTTTTAGTGGATAACCATATTTGTGTAAAGGATCCCTTTATTTTAAACAGTATTTATTGATTTTCATCATCTGGCCTGAATATTTGAGAAATTTTATTAAAGAAAGAGATGTGTCTTCCAGCAGGATTCAAATCTGCACATAGAAGGACACAAGTTTGAATCCTAATGGAGGGCCCATCTTTTTCTTTAATAAGATTTCTCAAATATTTAAACCAGTAGACAAAAATAAATCTATGCAATATATCTTGTCCAAGAACTTAGAATAATTCTCTGTATTTATCTTTACCCACAATCAACCTTGAAATAACCTAGAATTTTACTCCCTACAAGATAATCCCAAAACATTACACCACTTCCCCACTGTTGTGTTCTAAATTTTCTTGCATGACAGTAATCCCTAAAGGTTACTGCTAAGAAATCCTAATTCTTCTCTCTCACTTCTTTTCTCTCCTCTTCCCACTCCTCTTTATCTTCATTTTTTTGATATTTCTTTCCTCTTCTTATTTTTATCATCTTCCTTTTTTCCGTTCTCTTCTTCATCTTGACAACAATCATTTTTCCTTTCATTTTTATTTTTGTTCTCTTCCTTTTCCCCACACTTTTCATTGTCTTTTTTGTCTCTTCCTTCTACCCCATTTTTAATCCTTCTTTATCTTCATTCCTTTCATTCAGCTCCTTCTCCTTTATCTTCATTCTTTTCTTTTTCATTCATGCTTTTTTATCTTTATTCTGTTCCTTCTATTTTTCTTGTTTCTTATCTTCTTTTTCCTCCCACTTCCTTATCTTCATTCTATTCTTTTTTCCTCCTCTTTATCTTAATTCTCTTCTTTCTTCCTCTTCTTTATCTTAATTCTCTTCTTTTTTCCTCCTCCCTCTTTATCTTCATCTCTTTATTTTTATTCTATTTCTTTTATCTTCCTTTTTCCTTCTCTTTCTTCTTTCCTTCCACTTCTTTATCTTTATTCTCTTCTTTTTTTAACTTTATTTCTTTCCCTTTCTTTTTGCCCATTTTACAAGTTTTCCTTTTGTCACTTTTTTTTTTTATTCAACATCTTTTACTTTCTTTAATTATAATTTTTTTTTTCTCTTTATTTTACCCCTTCTCTTCCTCACATTCATATCTCTTATTCCATGAAGAAACCAAACACTTGTGCCTGATTCCTGTTTTTCTCCACCTCACCAACCCTCATCATCTCACACTCTCTACTCAAGAGCCTTTATCTCCAGTCTCTTCATCTTATTTTGTTACACAAACAAACCTCTCCAAAAACTGATCCTCCCCTTCACTCATGCATTCTTCTAAAATCCATACCTGCACATTAAACATTACTGTATTTGTTGTATCTACTTAACTTATATAGTGTATATTTTTTTACAAATGCACATATGTTTTTGTTTTTTTTATTCAATCACTTCAGGGCAACTTTTCTTCTTTATGACTCTTTTTCCTCTCAAATTGCCTGAATATTGTGAATCTATGAACATTTAGAAGACATAATAGATTCACAGTGCCCGGTAATTACCGAAAATCTTGTAAATCTGTTGGCATGGAATAGTTTATTAGCAGAGTAAATGGTCCAGTGGAAACATATAGAATGGTTTACTTTCAATCATTATGAAGAGAAATCAAAAATAAAAAATGAGAAATATGTTTGCACTGAAAATGAAAAAATAAAAAATAATAATACAAAAAAATGATAGCAGAAGATTAAAGAAATGAAAAAAAAAATGAAGATTTATAAAAAAAAAAAGAAGAAATAGTATGATAATGATATGAATGAAAGAAAAAAAAAGATATTGTTAAAAAGAAAAAAATACAAGTTAAAAGAGAAGGCTGGGAGAGATTAAATATGTAAATGATGAGAGTGGGACAAGATTAGAATGAGACAGAAAGAAAAAAAAGAAAATTCAAAAGAAAAACAGAAAAATATAAAGACATTTCAAATAAGAATAACGAGAAATTACTGGATGGAAATAAAATGCAATAATGAATTGTTTTCTTTTCTTTCTTTATTTATTTGAAAAAAAAAAAAAGAACAAATCAAAGACACGCCCCACCCCCACTCCACCTCCTGATAAAGATTTGGAAATTTTGCATGAAACATTCAGACAAGGGTGAAAAAATTGTTGATGAAGTGAGCAATTCAATTGTCTTTTATTGTCATAAATGCATACATGCAGATGTAGGCATTTAAATAACAACTACATACAGTCATCAACAGACATATATACATCTGTAGTATTTTGTAGGTATTATATATATATATATATATATATATATATATATATAAAGGAAAAAAATATATTTACTGACACAAGGATAAAATATTCCCAATAAAAAAAAAATTCTCATAAACCAATACAAGTAACAGAATTTTTTTAATGTAATTGTACTAAGTTATAGTAAACCATATACATAATAGCAGACATGTATACCAGTATACACAAAATGTACTAGTAAAAACACAAATACTTTAAATATTCCATATACATATTCACCAAAATGAATACACTGAAAACATCATCATAAATTATATATACCCATCTCTATCATATAATTATATTTATATATATATATATATATATATATATATATATATATATATATATATATATATATATATATATAAGTACTGCCTAAAGTCAAATAAAGATTCCATATAACTTCTTTCATGCTTTTCTTTCTACATCTTTTTCCAAATCTAAACACAAACGTGTATATATATATATATATATATATATATATATATATGAAAATAAAACAATACTATTCTAATAAAAAAATAAATATCTCATGAATAACAACATACATTTTTACACATAAATAAATATGTATGTATGTATGTATAAAAGTTAATATACACAAACACACACACACATATATATATATATATATATATATATATATATATATATATATATATATATATATATATTCAAATTATATCTGAATGCATTAACAGGCCCTCAATAAATCATACACAGAAACACACAGAAAAACAGTTATACATATTTACAATGATTGACAGAACTAGATTTGTACCCCAAGGGGAAAAATGAGAAGAAATTAGGGTATGAAGACTGTTGGCTTAGATTAATGACAAGATAAAGGAAAGTTTCAAGGCAGAAGAATGTAAAAAGTAAGCATTAGCAACATGATAAGTAAAATGCACCAGGACTTTGAATATCTCTTTTTTGCACTCAAGATTCTCATTTATAAGTGGGAACGTGAATAGATGGGAGAATGAATGGCACTTGTGATGAAGAAAATTGAGAAAATGATAGCAACCATAAGGATCATGAATGCAGAAATGTCGATGACAAATAATTGATGTTTAAAGGGACTGACGTCAGCATAATTGTCAAATGTCCCCAAAATCATCACAGAATATATATCAAAACATAATTCTATCCATCTATCTATCTATTTATGTTCATATCATTCTGAATGATATTAATATCTATCACTGCCCATATCCCACTCAGTCTATTCATATCTATCTATCTATCTATCTATGTCCATATAATTCTGAATTATATTAAAATCTATCACTGTACATATCCCTCTCAGTCTATTCATATCTATCTATCTATCTATCTATCTATGTCCATATAATTCTGAATGATATTAAAATCTATCACTGTACATATCCCTCTCAGTTTATTCATATTCATCTCATCTATCTATCTATCTATTCATCTATCTATGTCCATATAATTCTGAATGATATTAAAATCTATCACTGTACATATCCCTCTCAGTTTATTCATATCTATCTATCTATCTATGTCCATATAATTCTGAATGATATTAAAATCTATCACTGTACATATCCCTCTCAGTTTATTCATATCTATCTATCTATCTATCTATCTATCTATCTATGTCCATATAATTCTGAATGATATTAAAATCTATCACTGTACATATCCCTCTCAGTTTATTCATATCTATCTATCTATCTATCTATCTATCTATCTATCTATCTATCTATCTATCTATGTCCATATCATATATGTGGTGCAGTTTAATATACAGAAAATATCAAAGGACCAAAAATATTAAAAGCTGAAGATGAACCAGTACTGGCCAAATTGAGCAGAAACAAAGCAACAGAACCAGATGGAATTGTAATAGAGATGTTGGTGGCCTTAGATGATTTCAGCATTGACATGATTTGAGACATAATAAATAAATTATACAACAGTGATGATATACCAGAAGACCTAAGTAGATCCATTTTGATAGCACTGCATAAGAAGCCAGGTGAAAATTAATGTAAACTCCATTGGACAATCAGCCTAATGAGCCATATAAACAAACTTAACATCCAAATTCTGATGAACAGAGTGCATAGCAGAATCAGACTAGAAATAGAACATGAACAGTGTGAAAACCGTTAAAGGCACTAAAACAAGGAATGTAATATTCATGCTCAGAATGATATCAGAAAGAGCAATACAAATGTGGACAAATGCAGGAGAATGTGGACCTGTGTTTCATAGATTATGCAAAAGTGTTTGATAAGGTACATCATAAAGAACTGTTTGAACTGTACTAGGTAACCTTGACATATTTGGGATGGATATTAGAATAATTTGAGACCCTATACTGACAACAAACCTCCTATACATGGATAGAAAATGAGTTCTGTAAATGTACAAAAATAGAAAGTCATGTAAGACAAGGATGTGTCTTCTTACCAGACTTATTCAACCTATACAGTGAGGTGATTCTGAGAGAATTAGAAGTCCTATCAGAATTCATTATTGCCAGACACAATCTTAGTAACATAAGATATGCAGATAATACAGTGCTGATAGCAGGCATAGAAAAAAGGAAACTACAAAAACTCCTGCAAAAAGGACTAAACAACTATCGCAAGAAGATGGAATGCATGGTTGTTAGTAAAAGGAACAGTCCATCATGCAAATTAGAGATATCAAAATCAAACAAGTACAACAATTTAAAAGAAAAATGTACTGAACTGTTATGTAACAGTAATCCTCCAATATGACAGTGAATGCTGGACAATCTCATCATACATGAAGAAGAGACATGAAGCAATAGAAATGTGGTTCTACAGAAGGATGCTGAGAATACAATGAATCAAACATATGAACAAGTTATAGCAACAATGGAAACAAAAAGGACACTTATACATAACATTAGAAAGAGATAGTCGAAATTTCTAGGGCACATAATGATGAAAGAGGACTTGGAAAATTTGATACTCACAATGTTGATTGAAGGCAAAAGGGATAGAGAAAAACAGCATCTGGTGAGCTTGGTTGAACAGTTGGCAGAGCAGGATTTGGGAGAGATAGCAAAAAGATCAAATTTATCAATAGCTAAAAATGACATGAAATTCTGGAGATCCATAATCACCATCATGCTAAAGAGACACAGCACATAGAAAAAGAAGACGGTGGCAGGAAAGCAAGAAATTAGAAGGGAGTTCCACATGCAAGAAGTGCAAAAAAAAGAAACTATAAGAATAGAACATATGGTTGCATCTACAGGACAATATCATCATGAGGTCAAGCAAGCTTGGCATTCCATGACACACTGACACCATTCCTGTTGTTCATTGCTTTTGGAAGCTTGTCTAGTCTGCATCCCATGTCTTATATCAGATGGTCAATGTACATCTTCTTTGGTTAACTTTGTGTTCTTTTTCCATGGAATGATATTTTCTTTGCTTTACCAACAAAGACCAAAAAAGTCTTAGTCTTTGTTGATGTATTGATTTGCTGATGGGAGGTATGAATGAACTTTCCAGGATTTGTTTAGTGCTGCATGAAGCATTCAAGTATAAGCACAATCTAACCTCTTTTCCAGTTTGGCTGTTAGTGTCCAGGTTAAGTAACCATATACAAGAACAGATGCTACTGTAGCTCTGAAAAACTTTCTCCTCAGTTTGTCCAGTAGATTTGATTTCCATATTTTGTTCATTTATTTAAGCATTCCCCGAGTCTAATAATGACATTTTTCTCAGTGGAGGCAATATAGCTACCCAGGTAGTCATCTACTTGCTTGACGTTTTCTCTGTTCAGAATTTTCATGCCTGTCAATGTATCTTGATTCAGACAAATTAACTCTGTTTTACCCACATTGACATAAAGTCCAATATCCTTGGCTACATTTTTGATGTTGTAATAGAGTGACGTTACATCTTTTAGATGGTCAGCCAGTATCGCTAGATCATCGGCATAGCCAGCATCAGTGATCTTCTCACCTTGATAAAGTCTGTTTTTTTCATACAGTGAAAGTGAAGCTGCAAGTTCTTATCTAGGACTTTTCTCAGCACATAGTCAAGACAGATGATGAAGAGAAAAGATGCAAGTGTGTCTTCTTAAAGGACTCCTTAAATAATATAAAAAATTGTGTCTCTATCAGGTGAGCATACCATGGAATAGGTGTTCTGATACAGCATCATGATGGCATCTACAGTTTCCTGAGGTATCCCATATGCAAACAGTATTTCTTTCACCTTCTTATGATGAATGGAGTCAAATGCCTTTGAGAAGTCAACAAACAGGAGGGTGGCTGGAAGGTTTTTGGATTATATGCCTTCCAAGATTTGTTGAATGGTAAGAATCTGTCCTGACATCCTAGTGAATTAAAGTCTGAATTTGTAAATTTAGTGACATAATAATCCAAACCCTGAACAGGGCAGTGTGTACTTAGACTCAGTCAAAATGGATGAGCAATGACTTAGTATTAAACTAAGAACTAGTTCATATCTTCAAACATGGGCAATGGGAAAAAGTGTCTACCCCCATAGATTTAATAAATGGTCCAATGCAGAATTTCCTGTAGGTTACCTGGGTTGATATACATCTGATGAAGTCCTAAGAGCCAATGGCCAAAATGTTATGATAACAAAAACAAAGATAAGGACAATAGTCTGAATATAAATAGTGTAAATAAATATTTTAGCAAAAATAGATTTATTTTTAATCAGATATTTTGCTACTTTAAAAGTTAATATAGTGAACACATTATATTTGAAATAGATGGCCTATTTTTATTTATTAAACAGCATGTATTAAGTATGTTTGCAGTCAAAGAGATATAATACAGACAGTCAGTTTAATAAATAATATGGGACAGCTACTTCAAATACTATGTGTCCACTATAATGAAGTTTAAAGTTATATATATATATATATATATATATATATATATATATATATGGCCTGAAGATTGCATTTAAGCACGAAACAAACTGTTGGCACTGGGTGTTGACCTTCAATGTGCACTTTTATATTTATATACACTATCCCTTATACTGAGCAATCTAACCTATAAATATAGTATAGTATATATATAGAGAGAGAGAGAGAAAGAGACAGAGAAACAGACCAGATTGTTTCTCTCTCTCTCTCTCTCTATATATATATATATATGAGGGGTGGTGACAGTAACCAAGAATACCTTCTGCTTTAATTTCATTGGTCATTTTATATACACTCTATCCCTTTATATTGAGCAATCTAACCTATAAATATAGCATACTATATATATATATATATATATATATATATATATATATATATATATATATATATATATATATATATATATATGTGAGTGTGTGTGACAGTAACCAAGAATACCTTCTGCTTAAATTTCATTGGTCATTTTTGTCATATTCTGAGAAATGAGTTGGTCCAAGAACTTTTCAGTATGATCACCCCCACCACTTATACATACATATATACATACATGCATACATACATTTTACAAGAAGATAGTTTTATAGTAGTATATATGAGTGTGCATGTTAATGAGATTGCATGTGTTCACATTTCTGAGCGGTTCTGCAGTAGAGAACTAATGGTGTTATAATTTGAAACCACTTTGGTTTATTTTCGGATTTCTGTCACCTCAAGCATGGAATCTTGTCAGATGAAGAGACAGTAAATTAAGGAGTTGTAATTTATCTTGTGTACAGACATTTTAACTTAACACCATAGCCCTTGGCATTCTTCTTACATTTTTAACAATGAACATATCTGACAAAGCGGTTGGTTTTCATGGATAAGGAGACAGGATGAAACATATGTCCAAATAAGTACTATTGTATCTCAACAGAATGCTCAAGAAAAATTCATTTAAATTCATTACATATCCTCAGATGCTAACATTTAAATCAAGCACACTTTTATAATTTGGATGACTAGCACAACAGAATTTTCTTACAAATATCTTCCCATATTACCTGAGTACATAAGTTTCTCTTTGAAAATATAAACAATACCCAAGTCAGTAAAATTACTTTCCTCAGATTGAACCATTTTAGATTTCATAAAGATTTTCAAAAGTTTTAGAAAATGATTAAGACACAACAGCAAAAGTGACAAGAAATCTGAATGCACACTGGAATGACAAAAGAGATGTTTCAAAAGCTAAACAAAGTATTAACAGGAAAATTTTGTTAACGCTCAATACAAAGTGTCTTGGGAAAATCAATAAAATCTGTTGAATCTTTTACATACCAAGGAAGCAAAATAAATTCCACTGAAAAGAATGTAAAAATTCACATAGCTAAAGCCTGAGAAGCCTTGAATAAAATGGATATAATTTGGAAAGACCCCAAGAGTGGAACATGTGGATGCCAATTACAACAGTTGAACCAGTGGATGAAGTGGGCTATACATGACAGACATGCTACAGAAGGCAGCACTCAAAATTATAACAGAGTCAGTGGCAATCCATTGAAGTTTCATAACTGGATTCTGCAAGTCTCACTTCATATGTGCTGCAGAGGATGGAAATAAAATCAAGTGTGTGGGTAACTTCCTGGCAAGTCGAGGTCCACCTTAAACAAATTCATGCTATCAGAATTTTCCTTCTACTCTGATTTTGTTTCACTTCTAACCAAATCTTGTAAAGTCAAATGATGATAGAGAATGGATAATGAGAGCAGGTTTTGGTGAAAATGTATGTTTCTTGTCGTGAATCTTCAATTAGGAAACGATCAGCAAAGAAGAAATTAAATTTTGCATGCAAGATAAAGCCAACA